TTTTTGGAGATAGTTGGCGCCGGGGCTGCTTCATGACCATCAATCCATCCAAGGAGGAGATTAGCTGAAAGAGCTGTCTGGACATTGAGAGACCATGCCGGATAATTTGTTTCGGTGAGTTTTTCTGGGATTAAGTTGTGGAGACTCCGAAGTAAAAGTTTTACTCCGGAGGGTAAGGACGCCAAAGGATCCGACGGGGCTGCCATAGTGGGCGGCGGTCGGAAAAAAAGAGAGGCTAGGTTTTTGAGAGCTTTAGCTCTGATACCATGATACAATTTGATAACAACTTGTCTTATTGAATATTGAGAGATATGGCCCTATATATAGGGAATACAAGAGTAATCAAAGTACAAGTAGGAAAGGAAAGAATAATCCTAGTAGGAAAGGAAAGAAGTATCCTAATTTAATTATACTTCCTAATAATTACAAATAAATATGAAAAGTATATCGTTGAATAGCATTCGACTGTGATCGCAATGGTACAAACAGAATTCAATTCGGAGAAAGTTGGACCAAAAAGTGTACCCCGACTGGGACCGCAATTAGTCCCAATCAAGGAAGAATCTTGTAAATCTCTAATCGGTGCAGCCCCCTCCCCTAAGAGATTTACGGATGTAGCAATGAGTCAGCGAGTTTCTTCTTCCTCTTCTCTTCTCCTATATATTAATTCCTTACCATTTCTGCACCAATTTTCCTGAAGTTAATGTAGTTGTGTTCCCATGAGTGAGGAGAGCATTCTACAATAGTTGGTGGCCGTCGAAGTCGCCAAAGTTGTGAGTTATCGTTGTCGGAAGTTTCGCCGGAAAATTTCCAAAACCTTCGTTAAGCTTCCAGGTAAGCCCGTAGATATATCTAGTGACTAGAATGTTTGTATAGATCGTTTCTACGTTCATAAATAGTTGTTTGGTTGAGTTTTGTGTTTGACATGCTTGAAGAACTAAGAATCGTAAATCTTGACATTGTTGTTAAAACTATGAACTAATGATACCAAAATGATCTATGAACCTTGGAGAACATTTCAATATACTTTAATTGAAGTTTGGTAACCAAAAATGGTATTATCGAAATTAGACCCGAAAGAAGAAGATGATGAACAGTGATCAAAAAACCAGCAGGGTGGATCGATCTACCCCACTAGATCAATCCCCTGGGATGATTTTTCTCTAGCTTAGATCGATCCAAACCACTGGATCGATCCCCCAAAATTTTGTTCCGAAAATGTTTTTGAAAATGCTATTTATGAGCTCTAAAATCCTATTTTTGATCCAAGTTAATTATGAAAAATATAAAGATGATTTTTCACCATGAAAATGAGATTTTAATTTTAAAAAATAAATGTTATGTGATTCATGACGATAAGTTATGGTGTTAACACTCGAAACTAAGCCGTTATTTGCTATTGGATGTTATGTTGATTGATGGTTATGATGAATGATTATTATGGATGATTATGAATGATGAACCTACTGAATAAAATGATTACTTATTATTGAAACATGAGTAAAATGAATACATTGATAATTATGAAATAATTTGTATTGTTTAGGGTATCTAGAAGAACTCTAAGATATACCCATTTAGATAATTGATGTTAAGGCTATCTAGAAGACCTCAAGAATAGATCTCATATTAGAACGGACTTATGAAAATATAAACATTCGGTTATTTGGAAAAAAACTCATAATAGGGATTCGTAGACCAAACTAGAGGATCACTCGTTTAAGAATACCCCGATCCGTTGTTGATTAGTCGCTATATTATTGTTGCCTTAACTAAATACAGTTAAGAGTCTGAAATCAATTGCCTTAAACTAATAATAGTTTAAGTGTCTGATTATTAATTGCCTTTGTAAAAGAGTCTGGTAATGCCCTTAAACTAGTTATAGTTTAAGAGTTTGGATATATCAGTATGATTTGGTCTTACAATAATAATAGCTAAGAGCGTTGTTATGATTTGACATTAAACTAAGAATAGCTAAGAGCGTTGTTATGATCTGGTCTTAGACTAAAAATAGTTAAGAGCATTGTTATTATTTGGCCTTAGATAAAAAAATAATTTAAGAGCACTGTCGAAATAATATCTGGATTTAATAACATATGTTGATATGAACGGAATAATATCAAAATTGTGAATGTCTGAATCAAACATTGTGTGTAGTTTGTTTTATTTGTTACACGCAGGTAAACAGAAAGAACAATGTGATCGTGGCGACAGATGGGGCGAGGTTGTCAGATGGATGTGACAAGTCTTGAAATGAATTATTATGATATGACAATATTTAAATTTGCTTCCGCAATATTGTTGAATACTCTGTCATGTATATGTTATGAAAAATATTATTGTGGTAAATAAAAGTGTTTGAAAAGTTTAAAGTTTTTACGATTACCAAGTTAATACTTTAGTCCGAAAGGACTGCAGACCTAGACGAATTAGGATGTTACACTGTCGAAATAATAAATATTGAATATTCGAATTGAATAACATGTGTTGATATGAATTGAATAATATCAAAATCATGAATGATGATTATTTTAATTGAACCTTATGTGCATGATATCAAATGATTTAATTATTAATTGAGATTCATTTATATGGATGTTCGACGCATTAGATATGCTTACTTTGCTTCAACGCTGACCGTGTAGTATGTTTTATTTTCTACACGCAGGTAAACAAAAAGAATGAAGTGATGAACTCCTGGAGACAGATGGGGCGAGAGGGTTGTAATGGATGTGTGGATTTAAATAATTAATTGTTATTGTCATTAGAATTGTTTTAAATTCACTTCTGTATTATTAAACACTTCGTACTTCTACAGTTGTGTATTGAATATTATTTATGAAAAATAAAGATGTTTGAAATGTTTTAAATTTTACGATTACCAAGTTTATACTTTAGTCCGAAAGCAGCTGACCTGGACGGATTAGTGTATTACACTCAGATACTCTTGATGAGTCGACTTTTTTCTTTCATTCAAACTCATCTTTTTCTTCCTTCATTCCCTCTTTGTCATCATCTTCTTCCTTCACTCCCTCTTGCTCCTTGTCATCATCTTCTTCCTCCACTCTCTCCTTGTCATCATGAGCATCTTCATTCCCCTCGTCACCCCTTCCTTTTATGGTCTCATGTAAAGTGTTGAGAATTTTTTTTCTAGTTTCTTATACTCCCTTTCCATGACACTCTTCACTTCTCTCTTCACTTCTCGACATAGCATTTCCTAAAGCTCAAAAAATTTCCCATCCATGTAATCTTTCATAGTAGCAGGGACGTTTTCACTAGCTGTTCTAGTAACAGATGAAATGTTCCTATTTGTTCTGACAAACGGAGGGTTCTGCTTCGTGTATGAGAAGCTTAGGGTGTTCGGCCTTGAAATTTTTCTCCTCCTAAAAACATAGTTTAATTTTTAGCCGGGGTGTCTCACTCATGGCTAGCAGAATGAACAACTTCTTCCAATGTCGAAATCCTTCTTGCAGCATCTTCATCTTCACTTTCTGAATGTGCATCTTTTTGCACGCATATCTGAACAGGCTTGTCACCACTTTGGAGTTCCCTGACCAAAGCTGGTAATCCAAGGAGCATGTATTTCACTTCCCTCTGGAAGAATAATTCTCCTTACACTCTACATGAGACAATTCCACGTGTTTGAAGTTAAAAGCATATTAAAAATGTAAATGTAATACACCCACATTGTATTACTTACCTTGGCATTATTAATTGCATTTTCAATCACAGAGTGTGACGGCTTTTTTAAACATTTATTATTCCAGAGCCACATTCTCGGGAGTGGTTAATATGTCTGCCCCCTCTTCTCTCCAAATGTCTCTCCAAAATCAGAAATGCACTCAAATAACAAATACTGCATGCAGCCATGCACCAATTTAAACAATGTAATTATGGAAAGTTTGAAAGCCAATTAAAATTTAAATACTCACGGCGGGTGGGAGGACAAAGCCAGTGTAGTGGAGGGTGTTAGATGTTTTCCCGCCTTTACAAAACTTTTTCTTCTCTCCCACTAATTCCTTCCCCATGGATTGGATACGGAGGGACTCCATGAACGCACATGTCCCCCAGGGAAAAGCCATTGAATTATCAGAGTTGGCAACTTTGGCGATGATCCAATTTGGAATGGGCACATCTTTCTTGGCATGTCCAATCAAAACAAGGACAAGAAACATCAATATTGCCACCTTCACTATCCACTGTCTTGCAGAACCATTCTTTTCTTCATCTTTAAGAAGGTGGCATAGTTTTGAGAACCTCTGAACTACAGAAGTGTAACAAACCACACCTTTTGGCCAGTTTTCTTCAACAAAAACGCGTGGAGCATTTGAATCATACTTCTCATCATATCGGGATTCTAGTTTTAAACACTTCAGTCCAGTAATCAGAGAAAATTCCATTAGAGAGTATCTAACAAGAACTCTATTTACTACAAACCACATCTCATGAGCTCCTTTACCTCTCACATTGGCCTCCCTAACCATCAACTGCCATAACATGGCTGGAGGGGTAACAAGTTGGACATCCAGGAAAGTTCCAAAGGCAGAATTTCTCCTGAACTCTTCTATGATTTCCATATGATCTGTCAACTCAGCCTTCATCAATTTTTGGAAGTCTGGTAGTGACGACTTCACAGTCATCTTCATATTTGGAAATTCTTTTACATCTACCTTCGTCATGATCTGCAAGACCTATATAAGGGCATATAATGTAAAAAAATTTCATACGGAATAACATAAAAATAACTAGGACGAATGTCAAAAAAGGTCGGCCTTTTGTTTAGTCGACTCAACATGTTTTAGTCGACCACCCGAATAATTCATTGACCATATGTTTAGTGCTTGAATTGGAGATAGAATAACTAGTTTATTATCAAATTTCTGACCTGGAGATTTCCTTGAGTGGACTTTGGGGTTCTGCTGTGCTCTGCCGCAGTCTTTTCGGCATGATTCCCATCGCTTTCACTCTTGGAGTACGGCACAGAAGCATTCTTCATCCTCATTGTAGGAATCAAACTGTTCTTGATATCTAGGACTTTGGGTGGAGCGCGTATCGTTCAACTTTTGGAGATGTCAAAGAGGTAAGAGAGAGATCGAAAACTCAAAGGTCGCACGATGTAGGAAGAGATGTTTTGGGAGGGTTTTGTCTAAACTCTCCTGATGTCGTTTCACCCATTCTTGTTTTTCTTAAATTTAAACTTGAAACAGTGTGTATGCTCCGTTAAACGGCCTTCTTTTTTGTTTTTTAAGAAGCGCATCTCTTTTACACGCTAGGACATTTCCATTAATTAACCTTTACCGAGTAGTCCACCAAATACAAAACGTTTACTTGGCATTTTGATAAAAACTTCCACTTTTTTGTGTTCTTTCAAAAATAATTTTACTTTTTACTGTTACTGGAAATAATTCCGTCTTTCCGCATGTGCGCGAGATTTGGGTCTTTGTTAAAAAACTAACGGTCAATAAACAGAATTTTTGCCCCAAAATCTACTTTATTCGAAACCAAAGGAGAGATTCGTTGAATGAAAAATGCATATTTTCCGCAAATAAATGAAAGATGGGATTATTTTAGGTAAATTCTTTTTTTTTCGTTTTTCTAATTTCTAACTTTAAATTTAAATGTACTTTTTTAATTTTTTTTGGAAAAATACTACCAAATGTAAGTATTTTTTAGAGTAACTAATTATTTTTTCAATAATCGATAATCTGGTAATAAGTAAAAAAATTATTCTACACAACAGAGCTAATTTATTTACTTCATAACTCACTACATTTTTGTAAGTTACAATTTTTTTTCTTGAGCGGCACTTCAAAATGTTTTTTGATACTATATTATTATTATTTCTTAAAACAATAACACTACAAAACTTGTGAATATTTTTCGATAATTATATATAAATATTTTTTGCAAAATAATATTACAATAATTGTGAAAATAACACAATATTTTTTTCTCTGAAATGGAATTATTTTTATAACTCACTATATTTTTTGTTGTATTGTAACTTTTTCATGAACAACACTGAAATATTTATTGATAAACTTCCATTTCCTGTGTTATTGTTTTCTAAAATGGAACTACCTAATTTGTGATTTTTTTGATAATTTAGTACAAATTTTCCCCCAAAATAGTAATTCAAAAGTTGCGAAAATGGCACAATAATTTTTCTCCGAAATGGCACTAATAAATTTATTAACTCACTACAAGTTTTTTGTATTACAATTTCTTTCTTGATCGATACTCTGAATTATTTTTGATAATTTAATATTATATTTTTCCAAAATATAAAATACAATTTGTAAATCGTTAGACAAATCTCTAATAAGAGTATACTGTTATATTTTTAAAAATATCAATTTTAAATTTAAAATTAAAAAAGTAAAAAGTAAATTTGCCTAAAATAGATATTTACTAAAATAATCCCACCTTTCATTTATTTGCGAAAAATAGATATTTACTAAAATTTTCACTAAATGGTTGTTAGTTTTTTAACGGCGACCCAAAACGCGCACAGATGCGGAAAGGTATGACTATTCCCGGTGATAGTAAAACGTGAGATTATTTTCGAAAGAGTGCAAAAAGGTGAGACTATTTGAGTTAATTTTGCCTTTTTTAAAATTATTCATTTTCTGGAAAATTAACCAAACATAATAGATAATTTTCAGACTTCTCACCAAACACCTAAAAAGGATAATGATTTCTCGAAACTAACTCATTTTCCAGAACTCATTTTCCAAAAGTCATTTTCCATGTTTTCAAGCAAAACCTAAAATTAAGGACAAAAGAGAAGGCAAGTTAGAGGTTTCAATAAAACTTTCTTTGCCTATTGAAATTTTTGGCATTTAAAACATCATTTAAAAGTATCTAAAAGAAAGCCAAACCTTAAATGTCAAAAGTCATGGGCGATTGAGACTCATTTAAAAGTATCTAAAAGTATAAATCACAGTTGAAACTCCAAAAACCATTTGGTTAAGATAAAAAAATTAAAGTCAAAAGCAAAAGCTACCTGATTCAAAGTCAAAAGTCATTCTATGCATAGGTTGAGACAAAAGACAAGATAAATTTTATATGAATCTTACATGAACTCTACCTAACCGCCACCGCCTACGTCTTCGGCTCCTCACTCTTGAACTCTTAAAAACTTGATTGCTTGTCTTTGCACTTTGTAATTCTTGAATACTTTATCATGCTTGTTTGGCACTTGATTGAGCATGAAACCATGCATCATCCCACATTGCTTGTGATCGAAAACTTGCTTGACACCTACTATACGTCTTTATATCATTGTTTGAAAATCGTGCTAATAATACCAAAACACATATCAATAATTTCCATATAAGGTCTAACAATAACTGGCTCGCGGAGGTCACAAACCTCTAAAATGCACTTCCAAATATGGGAATCAACGTGGAGATGAATCTTTGACAGTGGGTGGGTGTATCATATATGGTGCTGCTATATTTGCCCTCATGAATCAGGCATATATCGTCGTGTCTTGTGTATAATAATAATAATAATAATAATAATAATAATAATAATAATAATAATAATAGTAGTAGTAGTAGTAGTAGTAGTAGTAGTAGTAGTAGTAGTAGTAGTAGTAGTAAATTAAAGTCAAGGAAATCACTTTTACCCCATTCCCACGGTGCTAGTTACCTACCCTGCCAAACAGATCACTTGTTTCACATTATACTCCCTCCGTCTCGATATAGATGTCACTCTCACTATTAGAATTTCTCAATAATTTTTGTTTGTTTGTATATTTTCATTGATAATTTGATAAAATAAAATATTTTTGTCATGCTTCGTTTTATAGAGTTTTTTAATATACTTTTAAATGGTGTAATTTATATTTTTTATTCATATATTAATTTGTAATTAAAATGATTTTGAAAACGATGAGATTTTACACATTGTTTGGAGTGTGGCATCCAATATGAGACAGAGGGAGTATGTAACATTGGATTAAAGTAATGGATGTACTCTCTTCAATAATAGATGGGACAAACCAAGATCGGTAAAAGGTAAATCATTTTGGTCAAAAATTGTAAACTTTGATCTTGATATGCAGAAAAAGTACATTATACTACCTCCGCTCAAAATCAAATTATCTTTTTACTCATCACAGTATCAAATTTCATTCGCTCCTTTCCTTTGTTTTTGTTACTCCTTTGATAAAATAATATAGTGATATCACCTCTTATTTGTGTAGTTTTTTATGTAGTTTTTTAAAATGAAAAGTTTATTTTTTTCAATTCACCCTAATTCTCTAATAAATTAGATTGAAAATGACTTTAATCAAACATCTTAAACCGGAACATGCGATTTAAATTAAAACGGAGGGAGTATTTCAATATAAATGTAATATCAGTAATTCCTTTTCAAAATATAGTTTTCAAATGTCAACATTTCATAAAACACATACGCATAAGAATATCGATATTAATGTTTAAAATTTTTAGGTGAGAAATTGTGAAAAGCAAAAAAAAAGGTTAAATCTGGACAAAGGGCATATCCTTTTTTTTGTTACAGATTTTTGGGGCATTCAAAATACACAAGTTCTGATACACTAGCTAGTTTACAACTGGTGAAATGCACACCTTACATATGATTATAGGATCAACGTCCCTACCACACTACATCCCCCGATCAAGTTTGAATTCATCTCGCTTCGTATTATGCTTAGTGTTAGCAATAGCATACACAACTAAATCGGGACGATTTGAGTAATAAAATGCAAACATTACAATGTACTAAAAGAACTTTGACTTGCTGCAAATGGCAATAAGCTGATTGATCTGGGGATCCTTTGGTCCCGGACACATTTTGGCCTTTGTAGAACAATACTTCGCTCCGAACTTTACGATAGCAAGGGCTCTCATAATTCAAAAGATGCCCTGAAATGACACCAAAAGGAGGGAGAGTTTGGTTCAAAGATAATGCACATCACAAATTCAATAAACACCCTTTATGGAGCTACTGAGCATCAACCAATAGGGAGTAATAATTCTTGCATCTCCCCAACACTATGTTTGGTTCTAGTTTTGATACCACAGTTTTTGGGAGAGCTTCTCGATCCCCAAAAGCTGGTTTACAAAAAGCATGCCTTTAAAGGTTTTTGGTACACGTCTTTGCTCCGCAACAGCTTACATAAAACACCCAAATTGAGTCAAGTAGCTCATCTTATCAAAACATTTTTTCAAGCAGCATCTAACTCCTACAGCTTACACAAACAACTACCATACTGATGACACATATAGCTAACACAAACACTTTACTAGTTGTCAAACAGCGCTAATGTGAAACTAAGAAAAAAAACCCAAACTCTGTCGCTTAGACTAAACAGTGTACCAGAACAGTATCCAAGCTGTACCCATTTTGCAAAACTACAGTACACATGATTTGTATACTACGTAGTAAGCTCTAATTAAAGACTAAAAAAATACCTCTCAAATCGTTGTGAATCTAGAGGGTAACACTTCGGCAATGTACTTTTGGGAGCGACAAGAGATGATTGCTTGCACGACAAACACTTCTTTCCTTCTTCATCGGTGAATATCTCGAGCTCACAGTCTCTGCAGAAAGACTCCATATCCCATTCCTAGTCATTGCATGAAAAAAAAAGTTGACAGTAGAAAGAGAGTTAATAGACAATCAAAGAAACAGACATTTAATAGACAATGTTTGTAAAAAAAAGAAACTTCACTGTCATCATCAAGAGTTTGGATAGGTCTGCCAGAGGAATAGGTTGAAGCTTGTATCCTCCATGATTCATTGAGGAAACAGCTAATTCTCGAACCTTTATTATTGTCAAAGGGGGGAAACATGTTACCATAGAGCCGCTACCAATAAATGAGGAAAACATGCACACACACACATACAGAATTACAGATAGAGAAAGAGGGAGGGGGAGGGGGGAGAGAGAATTTTGGAAAACCTCAGTAATGTAGGGCTCAAGAATACAATACTGCAAGTATGATGCTTCAGACTGTGTTGTATGGATAAACCTTTTGTAGTTTCCAAATCGGTAGTATCTGTTGAGAGAAACTTTTAGTACTACTACGTATAAAATAATACATCCTCCCATGAACAAACAAATAAATCAACTTCTTAAAATCACTCTTAAGGCCTCATAAGTCATACCTTACCTCAAAATTCTCCGGGCAAAACACATTTCCTTTGACTTCAAAATTTCAGGAGGAACTTGTCGAAACCACAAACACAATGAATCTCCCTTACGATCAAAGAGTAAAATTTTGATAAATACAGGATAAGAGACACAGCTGCTATGAAGAAATAACTTTAGCAGTAATGAAACTTTACTTGGATTTCAGAACTAAGGTGTAGAAGCACATAACAAGCATGGAATTCAGCTTCATTTGTGTTTATACATTGGGATATTCTATTTGCCTCGTAAAGATCAAACAATGTTGTTAATGCCTTCTTGAGCTGGTCCATGTTAAGGTGTAATGTTGACGAGATAGTAGGACCACTACATTGCCGAAGCTCATGGTGGGAGATGATATGAAATTTAACCTGAGTGGAAGGGAGATCAGTAAATGTTCACAGATATTCTCTCCTAGCAACTGCAAGTTCTGAAAATGTATTTAGTTTTAACTTTCCTTACTATGCAACCACAAAGAGATTAGTTTGAACTTTAAACTCATCATCACCCTAATCCTAATGAAGCCCCCGTTGAAGTTTGAAAATGCTTGGAGAGTATCGAACTGTCAATATTGATTTATCCAGAGACTATTTCGCTAAGAACTGGGAGCCAGTCACAATGACAAATGATCGGAGAAAAAACACTTAAGTAGTTAGTACTAATCTATAAGGGATTAAGGGATTGATACTTTGATAAAGCAGAAATTAAGTATATACATATATCATGGAATACCATCTGGTTAGATATGAAAACTTGCACATAGTTTCATAGATGAGAAGAAAGCTTTATGATAAGGTACCAAGGGAAGCTTTATGGAGGGTAATGACAAAGAGTGTTGTATCACGAAAATTCTCCCATCATTCCTGCTTCTGTCTAGGTTCATAATGTTTAAGAAAATGTATTGCAAAACTAAATTAATTAGAACTTATACTTTGTCTGAATGCCCTTGTCAAAAAAAACATCTCTCATTTTGTTACTCCTGGGAACACAGTAAATTTCACAACATAAGAAGGGTAAATTGAGGGAAAACTAGAAATTATAGTTAACATGCATAGATTTTAAAAATGGATAGACAGAAAAGGAACAAGGGAAATTGATCAACTCATTTATAAATATGGAATGATGGAAGGAAGTATAGTCAAATACATCTACCAAGGTGCTAAGACAAATCTTAGAACTAATGTAGGAGCGACAAGCCGAGATGAGATTCTCATATCATATATGGGTTACATCAAAGATTATCACTGAGCTAATTCATATTTGTGCCATGGGATTACATTTTCAAAATGCATCAAAGATTTTTAAAATATGCAACTGTCAAAATCTATTTAGGATGCACATCCACTATTCCACTGTTTGTCATTTACAAGTGAGACTTTGAGTTTAACCTTGTCCTTTGAAACCACAGTTAATCCTTGGTTCATATTACCCCTAGCTAGGATGTATCCACTTTAGATGAGTTAACCTTGTCATCTGCAACTATCATTTGCAAAAAGCTTGCACCATGGTATACCTCTTGGATTTGGCACATCAATTCTTCTCTACTTCTCTTATTGGCCCCCTTCTCTTATTGGACCCCTTACTGCCATCTCTTCATTTTCTATTCTTTTTAGTTTGTATCTTTATCTGGGAGTCTTCTAGAAACAGCTTCTTTACCCTTTTGGGTAGGGTTAAGGTGTGAGTACCCTCCCTAGACCTGTCTTGTGGGATTGACTGGAATGCCGTTGGTATTGTATTTATAGATGAGTTAACAAGATAACCCAAGATAGAGTACTGTGGTGTTCATTTTTTGTGGAGAATATCAAAGGATTAAGTGAAATATTGAAAAGGTGGAGATAAAAACTAGAATCAAGAAGTTTTAAAATAAGCCGAAGCAAAGTTTGTTGCGTTATCATGTTACATTTTCCCATTACTCCATCTTAATGTATACATTTTTCTTTTCTAATGAGTTTTCAATAATATTTCATTGTTATTTTTGTTTTTTTAAACTTTGTATATAATTAGGATATTAAATATTTCATACATAATATTTTAGCATATATCTAAAAAACTAGATAAAATTGCAAAGGAAAATATTATAATAGCTTTGATTTATACTCCTTCCGTCCCAACATAAAGTTTACCCTTTCTTTTTTTAAATGTCCCATAATAAAGTTAACACCTTCTCACTTTCAGGTTAAGGAAAGGAATATGTGGCTCACTTACTTTCACGTTAACCATGCAGTTTTTATCCGCTTTTCTGAACTTCATGAAGTCAAAATGTAAATTTTATATTGGGACAAAGAGTAAGTTTTAATATTTTATTACATTTTGTAAATGTAAAATATAAGGGTTAGTGACGTAGTATTCATTTCAGTATTTTAAACATAAAAGTTCTTTGCCCTTTGTTGTTGTACATTTTTTTAATGTAAAATACAAGCGTTAGTAACGTAGTATTCATTTCAGTATTTTAAACATAAAAGTTCTAAGCCCTTTGGGTCGATCCGAACCTGAACAGACTGGTTCATGAACAAGCATTTCCTAACCCAAAGTTGAAGCAACTCGAACCCAAACCTGAACCCGAACTCGACCGACGAGTTTGTCGGCTATAAAACCTATCCTTGAAAGGAAATGAGAAGAACATTTTAAGATGGCCGATAAAACAAAGTGAAATGAGCATTTCAGATAGAGTATGTATATGGTAAAAAACATTGAATAAAAGTATATAGCATTCGCCATTAATAGAAAGTACTCAACATTGCAGGAGAAAATTTACATGGTGAACAAGATATGAGCATACCATTCTCTCATACATAGATATCACTTTTGTACCGCTGCAATTTTGCATGCTAAGGTCCTGCCTGATGGATCTTGACCTATCGAACAGGAAGTCATGCACAACCTCAAAAGGACGTGTTGTAGAATGCAACAGATTAAAAAGATAGTCTAGAGTTCCCTCCAATACTGGCAGAGGCCGCAAATCAGAATCTTTGACATACTTTGTAGATATAGTTCTGCAAAACTAAAATGAAATGCTCATAATCAATTAGCAAAAAACAACTTACCCCAACAAGCCAACAATCAAGGTTAGTAGATTGAAAATGAATTTAGTACATTTATGTCTTTTACCAACAATCAATTGATAAACATCATTATATGATAATTATAATACTTTTTTGAAGGTATGATAATATAATACTAATAGTAAATAACATAAGATCAATACATTGAATTCAATTAATAAACACAAAGCATTGCATTGAAATCAAGTTCAAAGTACCATTTTTTTAATTTTTTAATTTCGTGCTTCATTCATCTTAATTTAAATTTTTTAAATTTTCATCTTCATTGCAAAACATGATCCTCCGGAGGAAAACATTTTAAGTTTCCAAAACTATAGTACTATTCTAATGTACTATGAAATTGTAATTCAAATTTATTTTTCTTATAGTGACACACCGAGTATAAAATTACTAATATGATATTAAATTTTTTTTAGTTATGTCCCAATTTTATATTTCGAACAGGGCCCCAAGATTCTACAAGGCCCTGATGCTAACTAGCTATTGACAACTAATTAGTTCTTCAGCTTCATTTTAAGTCTGTGTTCATCGATAAACTCCATCTATGTGTTGATTATGATTGATGAATCATTATGAATAAATATCTTACCTTTTTAACAGCGAGACTAGGAGATGATTTGCTTGGATCCCCGTTCAGCCTCTCAAAAACAGCTAAATCCCGCAGCCTCTCTCGGGTCTCCCTCTCCTCAACTGCAAATTCATATTGCTAAGAAAACACAGAGAAAACGCGGAAAATGGACCCATCTATGTATTACACAAAACACAAGAATCGGCTACCCGGGCACATGAACGGGCAGGTTCCAATCAAGGAGGGAAGATTGTGAACGTCTAGATCGGCTTCATTGTAGTCTTTTCGACGGTTGTTGCTCTTGAGGTTGTGAGGGTTTTCTTGAATTTGAGCGCGATTGGGTAGGAATTTGCCCGCTGAGGAAGATGAAGTAGTTCCTGTGTTGTATCTGGGTTGCCCAGCTTGCCCGCGAGCCGCCATAGAAGAGCTCTGGCTTCAGGAGCTCAGATGGAAAATTGAGCTATGTGAGCTCAATAATCTTTTTTTTAAAGAAAAAATTGATATTAACACCCATGGTTCGTATATGGTAGAGCTGCAGAAATATCTAATACGAAGTAGTACTTGTTTTGAACTAAATTACTCCGTAGTACTCCTTATTCATTCTAGGAAAATGTTACCCAATTGTCTTCCATTACCACAAAAATGGGCAAAAAACTAAAATAAAATTAAATAAATAAAAATGAGATTAAAATGAGTGGTAGAGAAAGGTACACCTTTTGGTGTACCCCTAGCATGGCTCTTCATTCTAGCATAAAATATACTCCGTACATATTTATTTTGAAATAACATATAATTTGATGGTGTACATTATCTAATCGGGTAAACAGTACTAGACCGGATCTAGAATTGTTTACTAGATTCGAGAACTAAAAGGTAAAAACACTCAAAATAGCTGGGAGGATGGTAGGTGAAAACACCTCTAGCCCAATTAATATTATGAATATAATAGAATACACGAGAGCTTTTTACGCGGGAGTTTAGTGAGAAGAAATCGGATCCCCTCCTTTGATGGTTACACAGGTATTTATAGTAAGCTAGAGGAGACAAGGCGCTGCACATCCACGTCAGAGCACGTTCGTGGGGTGATGCGAGGTGACTACCTTTGTTCTCTAGCTGCTTTGTCACTAAGTAAGGAAGGTGGCTTCCTTGTCGTGTAGTGTTCTGGACGGATTACTCAAGTATCAATGATTCTCCGTTGAACATGGTCGCTACAGTCCAAGCTCTTTGGATTCTTCTTTGCCGACACTTCCCAACCCTAGAAACCATACCGGGCGGTTTCTGAGGGATGGGTTTACTGAAGTTGGAGATGAATGAGGGGATAAAGTAGTTCGATCGGTAGACTATCCAAAGTGTATAGGTCAACTTTCCGGTCTACCAAGCATCCTTTTACTAACGATTTAGGTCTCCCATCCTGAAAAATCAACCTTGACAGGTTGAAGATTTTAACGTCTTCTTTGACCGGTTCTGAGTGGGATACACCCATCAATAAAACCCTCCACTTTTCGGCCACGTAAAATATCATGGGCGGGAAGTAAAAAACTGGGAAATAGACCCGAATTTTGATTTTCGGACCTTTTCCCGCCTGAAATTTTCAAAATTTGAATTTGAAAAGGTATTAATTCGGCACGTGTCGCAAGCCACACCTAATGATGGCCCGCTGTCAGCCCGTCCATTCGTCTTCCCATGCACCATCATTGTGCTGCTTGACGCGGCGTAACCTCGGGAAGCCACGACACCCATTATTTTCTTTTTTTATTTTCTCTCGCCTATATAAAGGCCTTCAATCTATCATCTCTTTCACTTTACGCGCATGTCCTCTTGAGCTTTTACCGGTCAATTCTTCGTTCTAGCTTCCTAGCCCTCCGAGTCAAGAAAGCTTTTCTTCCATTCTTCATTTCCTTTCCCAGTCATGTCATCTTCTGATAGTCAAAACATTTCCTCCTCAGATGCCTACGCATGTGAGGAATCTTCAACATTCTCTTCTTCGACCGAGTACTATTCTTCTTACTTCGAGCCCAGATCGGCTCCTCAACCTTCTGTTCTTGGACCGAAGCCGGTCAACCAGGTACCTGGCCAGGTTTTTGTGGATAGGGATGAACCGGTCGATGGTGAACCACAAAACGAATCCTGGATGGAGTGGGAGGAGAGGTTGGAAGCAGCCGGTTACTCTCCTCTCCCCACCTTCTACGTCTTAGATATCTTGTTACGCCACGACCCGGATACCCGAATTTATTCGTATATCTGACTCGCGGTGTTAACGGGTTGAACTTTTTAACTCGGTAGATGGAGCATTAAACAAAACTTTACTTATTTATTGATAATATCGGAGTAACTATTTTACATGCGGAAGCGATAAACTTAAAAATATTAAAACATTGTTAAATTGTCATAACATGACTTATCTTAATATTGATAGTAAGATTTTGACCCATTCGTCCAATGCCCTCCACATCAGTACTGTCCTCCGGCAAGGTTATCATTTTCTGAAAAAATGGAGCCAACCCAATCAGCAAAAGCTGAGTGGTGCCAATTATAACAATAGGTACAAAATATAATAACGTAAACATACACCTTTTCTAAAATTTCTTACGATAATAATATAAATACATTTGTTTTATAAAACTGTAGTATCAAGAAAATCAACTTTTCTTTAGTCTTTGTTTAACTAAGACTTCAAATACTTTGGGTACTACAAAAAAAGAGGGCAGTACCGACAGATCCTTAGCGACAGAAACGTTATTTGTCACTAAAAATAGAATATTACCGACAGATAAAATTATTTGAAGGTAAAAACTATTTGACCCACAGAAAGAGTAATATCTGTCGCTATAGCTTATAGTTTTAGCAACAAAATTTAATCTGTCAGTATTGCTTATAGTTTTAGCGACAAAACTTTATCTGTCAGTATTGTTAATAGTATTAGCAACAAAAAATATATCTGTGGGTATTGTTTATACTATTAGAAACAAAAATTTATCTGTCGGTATTGTTTATAGTTTTAGAAACAGCGTTTTATTGACATTTAATTTAAATATTTTAATTATAAAAAACCATAAAATTAAGCACAAAGTTGAGGTCAAGAAATTGGAAATGAAAAACCTCAATTTGAATTTTGTTATTTGGTCGCACAAAATAAAATATATGATTTAAAAATGAATTATAAGTTTAAAAGATAAAAAAACTAAAAATTATAGATTAAAAATAAATTTTTTACATTGAATATTTCAGATTCTTAAGTTATAAGTTAAAATTAAAGGTCTAAATAGTCCGAATAGAATCGAGACATATATGATAAAGAACAAATTAACAAATTCAAAACGTGAGGGATGAAAGTACACTAGTGGAGAGATATGTAGAATTATTCATATTGATGTAGAATAATAATCTTAACCATTGTCATCACGATTAAAAGATATGTTAGTCAACCACAAATCAGAAACTAAAAATTAGGGGATTAACCGTGAAACTGGAAACTAAAAATCAAAGTAACTGTCATACCAAGTCTGCATAAAACTGCTCACAAGCAAATCATTTATAGCTAAAAAATGTAAATAAGTAGGAAAACCCCAAAAAAGACAAAACTGCAAAATTAACACTCTACAAAATAAGATTTTTGGGTCAAAGATTGATCTCGATGGGTCTTAATAATAATAATTAATAATAATAATAATCATAATCATAATAATAATAATAATCATAATAATAATAATAATAATAATAATAATAACAACAACAATAACAACAATAAACAAACGAAATTTCATAAACTCCCTAGTCCACTAGTCTGGAGGTTACTAAGTTTTTCCCGGGAATATAGCTTAATCGCCTAATACCGCCAGAGACCAGTACCCCTCCACGAGCCTCATCGTCAGAGATAGACCAGTTCATCGTCATCGCCACAGAGACTCATCGCCATCAGAAATTCGGAACTCTTCTTCGTCTCTTTTGTCTGAGCGTGTTCTTCACGCATCACACGCTAATCAGGTATGTCGGCTACACTTCTTCATCTTCTTCGTGGTCTCAATCTCTCATTCAATTTGTTTCTCAATTTATTTAACTTCTATTTCACAAATTTCTTGGTCATGTGCTGGTTAATTACATGTACAACCAATTTTGTGATTTGAACCATTAATAATGTGGGAATTCGGAACAAGGAGTTCGAAATTGAAGGTTGGAATTTGGAACAGGGAGTTCAAACTCTATGTCCAGGACCGCAGTATTGTTCAGTTGTCCCTGAACCCTACATTTTAAAGTATTTTAAGATTCTGCCGTATTATTTTTAGTCCATAGATTATTTATATTTAAATAATTTGAATTGTTTTTAAAATCTATACATTGTTCTAACATCAATGTATAGATGAAGTGTGGCTTGAATTGGAATAACATTTAGTGCATATTCTTCTGCTTGTATCATCCAAATGTAATGGAAATAAGCATAAAACACAACTCAACACACGACACAGTAAGAAAGAAATTGTAGTTTTCAGTTAAAAACTGTAGAGAAGAAGATTTTTTTGAAATAATTTTTATATATAAATTAATCTACCATTCTAGTGTTGGCAATTTTTGCTTGTCTATTGTTGGTTTGTCTAGGAGTCCTAAATAAATAATTCTTAACATACTATCGTTTCATAATTATTGATAATTGTTGGATTTTTTTTCAAAAGTGGATATCTATTTTGTCACCATATTTTTATTTTTGACTTCAGGTTTAAAATTGTCTTAGTATGAATGTGTTTAAGGACAAAAATTGGGTGAAGTTAAGGAGACTTGATAAGAAATATGTTGAATCTTTAAATGTNTGATGGATGATGAACTTGAGGATGACAATGATAATGGTGAACCATTAGGCCATGATATGTATGGGATGATAGGCGAAGCATTTGAGAATTGTCATGGCAATTCGTCTTCATCCAGACAAAATGAAGAGGCCAAAACCTTTTTCAAGTTGCTTGAAGATGCAGGCCAACCTCTTTATCATGGATGTGATGATTTTAGCAAACTGTCATTCATTATTGAGATGTATAATCTAAAATGCTTGTATGGTGTGACTGACAGAGCGTTTAATGCTTTTGTCAAGCTATTCAAAAGGGCTCTTCCCAAGGAATCATCACTGCCAAACTCTTTCAAAAAAATGCAACACATCATCAAACAATTTGGCTTGGGCTATGAAAAGATTGATGCTTGTCCTAATGATTGTGTTTTGTTTAGGAAGGATAAGGCTGGATTGTCTAAGTGCCCTGAGTGTAATGCATCAAGGTATAAGATGGCAGATGATGGAACGATCATGAAATTAGCCTCAGGGAAGCGTGTTCCAGTTAAGGTTTTACGTTATTTTCCGTTAATTCCCAGACTAAAGAGGTTGTATATGTCATCGAAGACATCTCCCTTAATGAGATGGCATGCAGATAAGCGCAAAGATGATGGAAAACTAAGGCATCCAGTAGATTCTCAAGCATGGAAAGATTTTGATTCGAGATACCCTGACTTTGCCAAAGATCCTCGAAATGTGAGGCTTTGCTTGGCC